ATAGATAGATAGATAGATAGATAGATAGATAGATAGATAGATAGATAGATAGATAGATAGATAGATAGATAGATAGATAGATAGATAAAGATTTAGTTACCCATACAGAACTGGGGTACAGGCCAGAGGAATAGGAGAAGTGAGAGGCTTCACCAGAGACAGAGCGGGGAGCAGAACAGGCAAACTGACAAAGTACACTGCAGAAGGGAGCAGCGGGCGAGACAGGAGAGGTCTGCCATGCCATATGGGGCACCTCCCTAGTCAGGGATTGAGCTGGTGCTGAAGCATCTAGCTTGCCTAGTAGTGTTATGCTTTAACCCATGCCACCAGGGAGGGCCAACGCCTATCTCCCTGCATTCTGGGAACTGGATGGAGTCCTGGGAGAAAATAGTTCCCAGTTCTAAAATCTTCATGTATGTCAGAAACAAGGTTGCCCTGAGGAAGAAGTTTTAGCTTATTGGATAAGAGGGGAGCGTTCTATTTTCTCCCTTTTGGGGGTGTGGGGATGGGAAGGGCAACCAGACCTGATATTTAAGCTCAGTCCTAAGAGCTCCAGAGCCCTGAGCTAGCAGCTCCAGTGCTTACTTCCTTCAGGACACATTGCCTCCTCTAAGTTTCCTGGCCTTTCTTTCTGAAATAATGATCTTTCCTGTTTGTCTGTACAGATGTCTGTTTCTATAGTAATTCAGAATTGATAAGAATCTGGGTCCTATAACTTAGCATGCTACATAGTCTCATAAGCCTTTGTATCACAACACAGACCCCGCAGTCCTTTTCATTTCCGTTGACCTGTATGCTAAGATGGTGCTTCTCAAACTTGACCAAGCATAAGAACCCCCTGGAGAGCTTGCTAAAGACAAACTCCTGGGATCAGTCCCAGGGATTCAAGGATATAACGGGCTGCTTGGTGATGCAGCCTCTGCTCTCAGGCTCCGCATTGGCATCATTAGCTCTGCACCAAGAGGATGGTCATTAGGCTTCACCCAGACCAGAAGCAGGGAAGAAACTGTTCCTCCAAACTTGTATGTCTGTTCCTGTGGTTCACAGGACCCGCACATAGTAGTGTGGCGACCCCAACAGGACTAGAACATGTGAGTTAGAGAAACATGGAGAGACTTAGGCTAAAGGAGCATAGAGAGATTCAGCTCTTTTTAGACTTCCAGAGACCTGGAACAGACACTAAACATGTGCAGCAAATGCAACAGACAGCCCTTACTCTTGATGTTTCTTTTTATTTGTTTGTTTTTCCTTATTTGTGAAAGGTTTGATGCAGTTAAGAGATGGAGAATTACGCAAATTTTCTGACAAGCAGGAACTTTGTTGCACTCCTGGGCAAAGTTCACTGACTCCCACAGGTGTTAGAAAAGTCGTGCTCACTGGGGGACATGGGTAAGCTTTTATAGGGCATAGAAGTTGTTTTTCAGAAACCTATGCTCAAGGGCGCTTATCAGTTCCTGGAATGCAGGCACAAAGTGAGTACACTCCCAGTATGCAGACAGTAACAGCCCCAAATTCAAGGTTCCCACCCCCAGCCTTGCCCCAGCCACCTGAACCTCACACCTTGTTTCAAGTTGTTACATTTATTTCACCAAGACTCAAGGAAAATGAAAGCTTTCAAGAGTTAAAAAGACACACAAATGGAAAAAGACCATTTCCTAAAAAAGAAGATACCAGCCATGGGTGTGTGCCATATACCCTATTGCAAAAGGAACCCACAGGTGCGAGAAAGAATTTCCAAAGCAAATTAGGATAACATATGCAAAATTATTAAGAGATCAGTACAATAGACATGTTAAGAATACACCACCTGCTTAAGAAATGGAGGAGGGGTAATTATATTTTATTCCAAGATAAAATCTCAAAATATCACTTATATAAAAATACTAACAAAACATAGGGGTGCAGGTGTCCTTTTGAATTAATGTTTTTTGTACCTTTTGGGTAGATACCTAGGAGTGGAATTGCTGGATCATATGGAAGCTCCACATTTTAGAAGTTTGAGAAAACTCCACACAGCTTTACATAGTGGTTGTACCAGTTTGCAGTTCCACCAGCAGAGTAGATGTCCTTTTTCCCAACAACTTCACCAATATTTATTGTTTCTTGTTTTTTAATATGTGCCATTATCACTGGGTGTGTATGATGTGAGATAGTATCTCATTGTGGTTTGATTTGCATTTCCCTTATTACAAGACATGCTGAACATTTTTTCATGTTTGTTGGCTGTCTGCATTTCCTCTTTGGAGAAGTGTCTTTTTAGCTTTTCTGCTTATTTTTTTTTAAGATTTATTTATTTATGCATACAGAACTGAGGTACAGGCCAGAGGTGCAGGTAGTGATGAGAGGATTCACCAGACACAGAGTGGGGAGCAGAACAGGCTGACTGATAAAGTACACTGCTGAGGGGAGCAGTGGGCAGGTCAGGAGAGGTCTGCCGTGCCGTGTGGGTCATCTCCAGGGCAGGGATCGAACTCATGCTGAAGTGGCTTTAGCTTCTTAGTGCTGCATTTACCCCCTGCACCACCAGTGAGGTCCCTCTTATGCCTATTTTTTATGGGGTTATTCACTTTATATTTGTTGAGTTTTATCAGCTTTTTGTACACCTTTGTTATCAGTCCTTTTTCATTAGTATTGTGTGCAAAATTTTTCTCCCAATCAGTGGGGTGTCTGTTTTGTGTGGTGTCTCTTTTGCTGTACAGAAGCTCTTTAATTTGATGTAGTCCCAGCTGTTTATCCTTTCCTTACTATCCTTGTTTTGGATAATGTATGTTTAAAGATGTTACTGAGGTTTATGTCATGTAGTGTTTTGCCAATATTTTCTTCTATATATTTTATGCTTTCAGGTCTTATTTCTAATACCTTAATCCATTTTGAGTTGTTTTTTGTGTATGGTGCAAGGTAGTGAACTAGCTTCTTTTTCTTTGCTTGTAAAAGCCCAGTTTTCCCACCACCATTTGTTGAGCAAACTTTCTTTGTTTCATTGCATATTCTTTGCTCCTTTGTCAAAGATTAGCTGTCCATAAAGCTGTGGATTTATATCTGGGTTTTCTATTTGATTTCATTGATCTGTGTGTCTGTTCTTACTCCACTACCATGTAGCTTTGATTATTATAGCTTTATAGTATATTTGAAGTCTGAGGTATACCTCCATTCCCTTCTTTCCTATTCAGAAGATCCTTGGCTATTTGAGGCTTTTGTGGCTCCATATTGCTGCTCTATTTTAATAGGGACAATGTGGAATCAACCCAAATGCCTAAAAATAGATGACTGGGTCAAGAAGATGTGGTACATATACACAATGGAATATTACTCAGCAATCAAAAATAGAAACTCATGTCATTTGCAGCAACATGGATGGAGCTAGAAAACTAGATCATGCTTAGTGAGATAAGCCAGAAAGAAAAAGAAAAATATCTATGGTTTCACTCATAGCAGGAGTGTAATGGATCAGGAAAAAAAAAGGATGCATATATGCACACATACACACACACACATATAGTGAGTGTAATAAAGTAAAAAAGAACATCAAGTAACAACTATAAAGTAGACACATTCTAGAAGAGCACATAGGACTATGGTGATGGCACATGGGTAAAGTGGTGGTGAAAGTCCATGAGGATTACAACTAGGATGAAGAATGTATAAAATAAAGAATGATGTAAAAATATATGCAAAATAAAAGATTTATCTAAAAATACTAGCAAAAGATAAAGTAATACAAATGTAGGGGAATGACTAAAAGTAAAGAATGGTTGGAATAAGACTTAAATAACTTAAATGGAAGTGCTCAAGGAAAATGAGTATACATTGCAATAATAAAAAGACAAACAAAACTAATTATTATTAAAAGTTGTCTAAGCAAAAAGAAAATTCAATTAAAGATATATGAAAGGTCCTATGATTAGATAGGATATAGAAAATAATAAAGATTTAAAAAGACAAATTAAGGAGAACAAAGGAAGTAAAAAGATAAATTAGAGTTGAATTTTCAGAGAGGTAGCGAGGAATCAGATATCAGGTTGAGGAAATATTAAAAATAACATTTTCAAAATGTAAAAGACTGAATGAAAAACAAAACCATTTCAGTAGACTTACTTCTGCAAAGCTACCTAAACTCAAAATGACACTGAAATCAGTTGCCATAGACTCTCCAGCCCCTGCAGAGATCTCATAAGCAGAAAGCAGGGCCCAGTGCACCCTAACAAAACTGCCCTGTTCAAGGGAACCGAGCCTCAGGCCCAAAGCTCAGCCCACTGCAATCTCCCTTAGCCTCCCGTTCCCAACAATCACTCCCCAATGCTGCTTTGCCAGACAGTGTAACATGATGCCAAAATACCAAAAGAAAAAAAAGGAAAGATTTTTCTCTTTTGAGTGGCAAAGATAAGACTCAACTGTGGTTGTTGCTGCAAGAATCTGTGTTCTATCTAAAGTGTTCACCTTTCTGTTTTTCCAACAGTGGGACCAGGAAGACATCCTTGGAGAGCAGTCTACAGCAGCTAAAATGCCATTTCACCTGGAAGCTGGTGGAGAGAGAAAATTCCTTGGATTATTTTGAAGACAGAGTGTGCAACCAGATTGAGTTCCAAAACACTGAGTTCAAAGCCACAATGTGCAACCTGTTGGCCTACATAAAATCCTGCAGAGGCCAAAATGAGGCAGCCCTGGAATGCCTACAGCAAGCTGAAGCGTCCATCCAGCAAGCCCACGATGCTCATCAAGCAGAACTCAGAAGTCTGGTCACCTGGGGAAACTACGCCTGGGTCTACTATCACCTGGGAAGATTCTCAGAAGCTCAGATGTATGTAGACAAGGTGAAACAAGTCTGTAAGAAGTTTTCAAACCCTTACAGTATTGAGTGTCCTGAGATATACAGTGAGGAAGGGTGGTCACGGTTAAAGTGTGGAAAGCAAAATGAAAGTGCGAAGGTGTGTTTTGAGAAGGCTCTGGAAATGAAACCAGAGAACCCAGAATTCACCACTGGATTTGCAATCGCAGCTTTCCGGCTAGAGGGCAAACAAGTACATGTGAATCCCTTGGACACTCTGAAGAAGGCTATTCAGCTGGATCCTAACAACCAGTATGTTAAAGTCCTCCTCGCTCTGCAACTCCAAAGGATGAATGAAGAAGATGAAGGAGAGAGGTTAGTGGAAGAGGCCTTGGAGAAAGCTCCGTGTGCAACAGATGTCATTCGCCAGGCAGCAAAGTTTTATCGAAGCAAAGGTGACCTGGATAAAGCTATGAAACTGCAGGAAAAGGCTCTAGAGTACATGCCTAACAACTCTCACATTCATTTCCACTTGGGGTACTGCTATAGAGAAAAAGTCCTCAACCTGGAAAATAGGGGCATAAACGGGAGGTATGATAAAAGGAAGGAGTTACAGGAACTAATAGGGAAAGCTGTTTATCATTTTAAAATAGCTGAAGAGAGTAGTGGAAACTATTTCTGTGTTTGCTCCATTCTTGCCACCCTCTATATACTAGCAGGTCAGTATGACGAAGCAGAGCATTACTTTCAAAAAGAATTCAAAAATGAACTTCATCCCATAGCCAAACAGAGGCTCCACTTGCGTTATGGCAACTTTCAGTTGTATCAAATGAAGTGTGAACACAAAGCCATCCACCACTTCATAGAAGGTGTGAAAATACACCAACAATCCACCGAGAAAGAAAAAATGAAAACTAAGCTGCAAAAACTTGCCAGGAGGCTCTCTATAAATGGAGCCGATGCTCAGGCTGTGTCCCTGTTAACTTTTCTTCAAGAGCACGATGGAGAAATGCAGCCAGAGGGCCAAAACTCTGAGAGGGTTTGGGCTCCCGAAGCCTCATCCCATCAGCATCTGTAGCTGAGAAGTGAGGACCAGGGAGACAGAAAGCTGGCAGGAGCTGAGCCCCAACACCAGGCTGAGACTAACATCTTAATAACTGATATGGCAAAAAGAGGGAAGGCGTTGGACATGGGCTATGTAAGACATTAGATCTTCATCATTCTTACCTTTAAAAAAGAAATGAGGGCCCTCCCTGGTGGAGCAGCAGGTTAAGCACAGCACCAAGAAGCTAAAGCCACTTCAGCATGAGTTCAATCCGCACCCCAGAGGTGACCCACATGGCATGGCAGACCTCTCCTGACCCGCCCGCTGCTCCCCTCAGCAGTGTACTTAATAAATCGGCCTGTTCTACTCCCCACTCTGTCTCTGGTGAATCCTCTCACCGCCCCTGCACCTCTGGCCTGTACCCCAGTTCTGTATGCACAAATAAATAAATCTTTAAAGAAAGAAAAAAAGAAATGAAACTGGCAAGTGCCTTGAAAAAAAAAAGAATTAGGTCATGAATAAAAGATTGTCAGCACTACAGTGGCAATTGTATCACAGTATATGAATGTCTACCTTCAATAGACACAACACTATCAGTCACACATTTTAATAAATAGTCAAGGCCTCCCTGGTGCCACAGGGGTTAAGTCTCAGCACTCTGTAGCTATCAGCAGGCACTACACCACAATTTCAATCCTGGCCAAAGAGATGACAGAAAGCAGACCTTCCCTTTCATGCCACTGCTCACCTCAGCAGGGTAGTTCAGTCAATCTGCCTGTTCTGCACCCCATTCTGTCTGGTGATTCCATCTCACCCTTCACCCCCACACACACCTCTGCCTGTGACTCAGTTATGTATATGTAAATAAATAAATATTAAATACATGTACATTAACAATTTTGTTAAGTAATGAAAATAATGTATAAAATTCAAGCATCTGATAATAAAATTCCAACTATTGTATCACTAGCTTCTATATTACTGTTGTATGTACTTGAGACCATAAGTATTCACAGTACAAATTTTTGATAAAATAGTGTAGATGTAATTAATAAAATGTGGATGTGACAGAATATAAAAGAGTGTTGTAACTTTTCTGAAATTGTGCTGTGTCTTTACTCTTTCATCGCCCCAACTGATAAATAAAATTACAACAAGATGACATGTCCCCAATAATCCTGACTGGTCATAATCCAGAAACACAGCAAACACATTTTCTCTATATTCCACTCTTCCGCTCCCACAGGCTCTCACCTGCACACTCACAGTATCTGCCAGCACTGACCTGAGGCTGCTAATTGCTCTCTCCCCATTAACATCTGCTGCATTCATCCACATTCTCTTTTTCCTCTTGACTCCATATTGAGAAATGAGGAGGTATCGCAGATTCTGTTTATGCCCCATCAGGAGGCCATAAGAAATTTGCCCAATTTACAGTAGGAAAGAAGAGAACAGGACTAGATCCCACCACGTCTGTCAGGTCCCTCCTGTGTCTTCAGGTGAAAATACAAGTCACGGGGACACAAAGGGGCTGCAGGCCACTTGACAGAGAAAGACAATGTGCTCTCCAGGAGAAGGCTGAGTGGCTTGACTAAGTTTCACCTGAATGGATCTGGTGCCTGGGGAGGGAATCCTGATTGTTGTAGTGAAAGGACTCCTGGTTGTAGTGGTAGGGCTCCTGGAGGCCTTGGAAAGAGCTACTGGGATCTGTGTTAAAAGTGTATTTCTCGGCCCTCCCTGGTGGCGCAGCGGGTTAAAGCACAGCACTCAGAAGCTAAAGCCACTTCCACATGAGTTCGATTCCCGCCTGCCCCGGAGGTGACCACATGGCGTGGCAGACCTCTCCTGACCCGCCCGCTGCTCCCCTCAGCAGTGTACCTTGTTAGTCAGCCTGTTCTGCTCCCCACTCTGTCTCTGGTGAATCCTCTCACCACCCCTGGGCCTCTGGCCTGTACCCCAGTTCTGTATGTACAAATAAATAAATCTTTAAAAAAAAAAAAAAGTGTATTTCTCTTGCACTGCTGTGTCCTGTCCCCTAAACCTTGGCTGCAACAAATGCCTTGAGGTAAATGTGAGGGCCAGTTTATTACCCTCTCCATAGTTATGTGAGGACTCAGAGACAATAAATGATTTTTTAAACATTCATTCTTATTTATATATGCATACTAGAACTGGACAAGGGATGGGATGGTGAGAGGATTCACTAGATACAGGGTGGAGAACAGAACTCTCAGAGCCATTGAAATATACTGCTGAGAGAGGCAGCAGACCAGACAGGAGCCGTCTCTTGGGCCATGTGAGTCACCTCCCTGGCTGGGATGGAACTCATGCTGCAGTGGCTGGTGATAGGTTGATAGCACTGAGACTAACCCCTGTTTTACCAGGGAGTTCCTGCTCAAGACACTAAATGATTTGGAAATGAAAAATAAGGATAATCATTTAAATGTGCTGTTTGAGTGCATATCCCTCACCTTCTCTGAAATCTCACTCTCCACATATAAAATATGGGACCACACTGACTGCAATGGCTTCAGTTCCCTAGCACTTTACATATCTCCCCGGGTTGGACATTGGACTCTCCTCATGTACTCACCTGGTGAATAACAGGCACCTGAGTTTCGGTCATTCAAACAACAAATATGGACTGAGTCATCACAGATTACTTGCACTTCTGCGTTGTCGTCTTGATCTCTGTTTCAGATCATAAATCAATTTCACTTTGATTTGAAACAAAAAGTCCTCTGTAACAACCACTCAGAGGCAGGAGGACGACACACGTGATGCACAATCTACACACGCTCTCTCTAAAGCTGCTTCAAAAGGAACTTGAGGCACAGGAGAATGATTTCCAAGTCTCACCTGCTTGGACACAGCTAACGAAACAGCCCAGAACCAGACTGCCATCATGAGGTGGGTGAGACAGAAATGCTTACTACCCTTGACTATGAATGCACATGACAAGCTGAGCTTCTGGGGTGCAGGGAAGATCCTCCGGCTGCCTTTCAGTGTAAACTAAATTTCCTCAATGAACACAATTCTCTTCTGTGTTATTTCACTATAAACAGAGGAATTCTTAACTTCTAGATAACTCAGGGATCTGGCAGCCAGGTTCTGATGAAAGGAGATTGGCAGGAGAGGCACAGAATGGGTGGTTCAAGTTAGACCCAAGGAAGTTCGTCTTTATGGACTTTGTAGCCATTATTCTCTTAGGCTGAAGAGTAAAGCCACGCTTTCTTCTTACAATTCTAACAGGAATCATTTCTTTGCATTATACATTAGTAAAGATGGAATCGAGAATGCAAACCCTATTCATATTGAGTACATTTTAGCCTGTGAAATAATTAATCATTTCCAGGTGAGGAGTCAGAAGAAACAATTATTATACATGGGCATCTTTCCACGTTAAAGCAAAGCTTAGATGTGCTTGCCGCCATGAGAGTAAGTGAGCAGCTGGAAGCATTGACCTTCAATCATGAGGACGAGGTCTATTTTCAAGTACTAGTAGGATCTCTAGATTCTGAAGGTGGAATTGTTTGCATTGGAATGGTGGGACGGGGGGGGTGTTAGGGAATGACTAGGAGGGCACATGGGAAACTTTAGGGGTGATACAGATAGCTGATAGGGTGGCTCTGCTTGTGGTATTGAACTATTTATTATCCATGTGTCAAAACTCAACAATCTGTATTTTAAATTGGGTGCATCTTATTGCATATAAAGGACAGTTTGTAAATTTCATCTTGAAAAAAATTCATAGCAACCTGCTAGAGTTCTTTCATCAGCATGGCAGGAAAGGGGATATTTTCTTTTTACAATTGATTTCTACTTACACTCCTTTGTCAAATAAAATGCTTGTTATGACTTCTATTCTTTGTAACCTAATATATGAACTCTCCGGGACAGTGTCCCTTGTGTCTTCAAGAAGAGCATGTATTCTGCAGATGTTAGATGGAGCATCTGAAAATGTCACTTGAGTCCATCTGCTCTGGTGTACTCTTAAGTCCAGTGGTTCCTACTGGGCTTTCTGGATGGTTGATCTATACATCGTTGAATTTATAGAAGTGAAGTCTCCTAATCATATTTTATTACTATCTAGTTCTTGCTTCAGTTCACTGAACATTAGCTTTATATGCTTCATTATTCCCATGTTGGGTGCATAAATATTTTTTTTTAAAGATTTATTTATTTGTGCATACAGAACTGGGGTACAGGCCAGAGGCTCAGAGGCGGCGAGAGGCTTCACCAGAGACAGAGTGGGGA